TAGTTCCTTGCCGACATGTTGTATTACTGTGTGTCCATGTACTTCCTGCCTACTCAAAATGTTCTTGTGTTATGTTACCCTTTGGGTACTGCTTAATCAAGATGGCAAACAGCTTTAAAAAATTTGATTCTAATTGGATGTGGTGATGATAAGATATTAGATAAGCATGCACCCTTTTATGTGTTTTCAAAAAACTCTTGTTTAACAAGAGTTTTCCCCTGAACCAATTCCTGCATGTGTTAAAGCAAATATAAAAAAAGAATTACAACATGGATTTATTTGGAGCAGCTCAGGCTCCACATACTCTAACACCTCTCAGTGTCCTGTTTTCTGTTGATGTCTCTGTCACCCTATTTCTACTCTGTTCAGCAAAGGGAAAGACTCAGCAGAAACATGAACATTTCCTTTGCATATAATCCAGACTTTGCTCACGATACTGGTGGTAAGCCTGCAATTAATATATTACAATGTTATGTAGTATTTCTGAAAGACTGATACTGTAAACCATAAAGTCCCAGTAGACATCTGCTCACAATTTGAAATATGTATAAACCTCAGGAGGAGAAATAAAAAGAAATGTAAAGTTTTTTTTCTTGCTATTTCGTCTAAACTGCAGTGGCAAACTGGCTGAATACACATTTCAATCTGTTATGCTTATGATTTTGGGCCTCCTTTTTCAGAGAGAGAATAAAGGTGTGGTCTCAAGGGGTGATACTTTTTTGCAGAAAAACACAGGATTAAAGGCAGAGAAGCATAAATAGCGGGTGAAATGGGTTGCAGTTTGAAAGGCACAAAAAGTAGAGAAATAACAGTAAACAAGGCATGTTGCAGATTCTGCACCTGGATCAGTATGCTGCTGCAGATATAAAATGCCTTATGATCTGTAGAGACCTCAAAGCATAAATACTGGTGTCACTGCATTCAAGGAGCTTTAGAATCAGGTTTATTCAATATTTCTTTCCAGCTGAGCAGGTATCTTTCTGTAGGAGTCTGCATTCAGTCATCCTTAATGATGCATCTTTTATTTGTAGTAAAGGAAGTGGGACATATAACAAAGGGCAGACAATGTGGAAATGGAGCAGAATGAAAAGTGATTCCATTCTTCAAACTGATTGTAGTAAACTGACTCACCAGGATTACTGTGAAACAACAGTGGGAATCAAGCTTTTCCTTTCAGGGCTATGGGGCTATGAAAAGGCTGAATTCAAATCACGTGTAGTACACGTGGTAGAACAAAAGGATTAAGTGCGTTTGTATTTTTCACTCAAGTCCACATACGCCACAGGAGCCTGTCTTTCTTCGATTTCACTGTATCTCTAAAACAGGCTAACATCCATTAGTGCTGGCAGGCCGGGGATTGAGATGAATGTGTTCCAATTTTAACCACCCTTCTGAGTGCCCTGCAGGGTCTCGTGGTATACAGGAGGACTGTGAAGTGATAGCTGGAGCTGTCCCAAGGTAGCATGGACTGTTTCAGAGTGCTCTAGTCATTTTGTGTTTCATATGTAAATGGTTAACTGCTTTCACTGATTTCCCTCCAAATGCTGTCTTTGATTTATACACGATAATTTCCATGGTAGAATTTCCCATCTTTTCCAAAACAGCTTGATGAATGGGGGCCACTGACACTAAACTACTCACTGCGGAAAAGCTATTTGGACAACAACAGGCATTTAAGTCTGCCACTCTTATGCACTGATCTCCTTGTATCAGGGAGAACAGAAACAAACATACTGAATGGATAGCGTGGTGTCCCCTGCTGTAATCACAAGGTCATCAGAAAATTGTATAAACTCTTTTCAGGCTACTTGTGAACTACAAAGTAAAAACCCCAGTATTTATCTTCAGATACTCCGGCAAACCTAATGAAGACAGCAATACAAGTTTGATGGTAGACTCTGTCCCTGATAAAACTGTTAATCTATCCATCTCATCAAACATGGAAGCATGTATCTAATGTTGCAGCCTTGGGGTAGACCTGGAGGCCAGACTGCCATGCCCTTTCTCTCCTCAGGCCAGACCAGAGCAATTATTACTGCTGCTTCACACACAGACCTGTGTCGCCAACGCAATTAACAAGCTCCGGAGGAGCCTGGGCAACCAGAAAGGGACAGAGTGTGTACACAGCATGAATGATGAGAGGCGTGAGGAGGGATGGGGGAGTGAGGAAGAAATGGAGCAGAAAGCATGAGCAGAACAAGCATTTCCAGCAACTTAGCATTTTTAGTCATACACATGCAGATATAATTGTGTAAACCATCAAATTTACATTATAGACATTGTTTTCACTGTTTCATACCTGAGGCCAGAGAGTTTGGATAGCAACCCTACAAATCCACTTCTCTACATTCACCGCGATTGTGAGGATGATTCATTGCTGCTGTGACAGAGGGAACATCATGTGTTACAGCTCCCAGAAGGAACAGCTGTAGGTGTTATCTATGCAGGATGTTCATTTTATTCAAAGGCACGCTCCATTATCAGCTGGAGGAAGCCAAGTATCCCTGCTCCTTTTCACTGCATCCACATCCTCATGATCCCCATCTCTATTATCTTGCATGTGACCAGCTTTATGTTTCCCCCATTGCAAACTTAATTTTAAGATCTAATCATTTTAAACTCTGGCATGAGTCTGCACATCTACTGCTTTTTAAAATCGCAGCCCCATACTGTCCCTTTACTTGTCCAAGTAGGATGCTTAGATAGGAAAAGATTGCACAGAGGTTATAGACAGAGGTCCTAAGGTGTCTTTGCTGACTCTGAGATGTAAGAGTGATGGAGGCTGTCGAGTAGAGAGATGGATTTCTTGGCTCATCTCATCTCCACCCAGTCATTGTTCATGAGCTTGGGCTGCCAGACAGCTGTCTGTACCTGCCACCTCTGACAGATGCCCACTGTCAGCCAGTGTGGGATGGTCCACAATCTGTGTCACCTTCTCACAAGCTCTCCTCTCATGTGAGCCAGAAACTGATGACTGAGAAGAGATTGATTCATTTTCTGTTTGTTGGAGCTGAATCAGTCCATTGTTGAACATATTAAATGAAACAGCTGGAAGTGTAACTGCAGGCTGTGACAAAAAATACAAACAACAAATCTAGAGAAAACTTGCAACAAGAAATATCATGGATGAGTTTATTAGATCCTTATGCTATCATGTTCTTAGCCAACATGTTAATTTTGTCCATGCTTCATCTCCCATTTTGTATTCAAAGATACATATTTAAAACCTGTATACGTGACCACAGAGAATAAAAATGTCCAATTCAAAGGCGGCACTGTCTTCATAAACATGCGTGATGTCAGGTATTCAGTGAGCGGTGGAACACAAAGCACAAGTGGAAAATGTAAAAAAAAAAAGAAAAAATTGGCTAGAATCTTGACTGACACCTTGCTCCTCGTTTGTGCATGTGTATCTGAACAACCAAGAGAAAAGATGAATAAGAAACTGCATTTACTGTGAGACAAGCAATGCATTCTCTGGAATGGTAAAAGAACATGCAATCTGAGCAAGGGCAGAAGTGTCGGTTTCTGCAAATAAACAGGCTAATAATGCACATCCTCACAAATACTTAAAAGCACACATATTTAGACACATACACACACATACATCTTGGGAGCAATGTGTGGTCTGTTATTAGAGAAATTTCTCCTCTGCTCCTGCATGCTAATAAACAGAATCATTAAGGCACATCATAGTGTGCTGGTGGGTGGTGGAGCTGTTCCATTACTGCAAAATCACAGATTCCAACTTTCTTTTAAATTATGACAGAGAGAAATAGGCTCTATTAAAGGCAGCAATCAAAGCTGCATCACCACTAGCAAGCATGTCACGTAACTAATTCATTCTCAATACACATGAAGCAATTAATTCATGTCAACACAAATACACAAATAGTCTCCCTTTGCCCATCAGGACAGCAGAGGTTTTAAGGTTTGTGCTTGTGTTTATTTGCGTGTCTTTGTGTCTCTCTGTGAACATGCTCAGTGGAGTGAAGCTGGAAGAGCAGGTGTAATTGGGTGTAAAAAATAAAGGGGGGACCTTGTGGTGTCCCTGGCTAAATGAGATCAGACAATCTTCCCCTCTCCATTTCCTCCCTAGACAACAGGTACATTGCCCCTCCTCAGGTTTGTTATCATTTCTATGATCAGGTTAGACTCCACTACAGATGACAGGATAATGATTATGCACTGAAACCAGCCTCCTTTTAAAAGCATGGGTGGTTGTATCTGGCTATGCCTCCTCCCAGCGAACTTAAATCAATTTAGCCACAGCCATACTAAAACACACCCAAGAAAAAATCTCTAAAAGGGTTTGAGTGCTCTGGTGTTTGGTCTCTCAGCAGTGGTTTAGAGAATGTTGACGATCAATGCTTCTTGCGGTAAATCATTAAGTCCCATTATTTCTGGAAAGACAAATTCACCAGAGAACGCAAAGCCAGATGTGTTACCACCCAGACAGTAACAACCACTGGCTAAATGTGTTTCTCTGGGTCAATATCTCACTGTGGTAAGATCTGATGTGCTGAGAAAGCATTCTTGGCTTGAAGAAGTGGCTCAGGTAAAGAGCAGATGTGAAGCCAGAGTACTGAATGGTAGGACTGTGAGAAATCAGAACAAGGAAAGTGAGAAAGAAAAATGAGCAGTAAAGAGACAAAGGCTTTCTGATTGTGGCTGTGAGTTGAAGTCTGTTCAGTCTCAGCATGAAACCAGTCTGCATTTAAATGCATCTGTGGAAAAGCAGAAACCCTAAAGAGTTCTCCTACTCCATCACCCTCTTTGACACTGAAAGTCCTATTCTCAGATGAAGGAAAACAAGAAATCCTCCCCTTCCTGAATTCCCTTTTTGCGCCACTTCATCTCTCCTCCTTTCTCCATCCATCGTCACACGCCTTTAAGGTTTTCTGATAATGGTGTCTAGGATGACTGATGGTATTCAGGTGTTTTCAGGAGACAAATAATACAGGAATTGCTCTTAGAATGGAAATATGTCATCTTCAACATTCAATCCAAAAAGGCTGTTTATTTATAGAATAAAGACAAAAACAGACAAATAAAAACAACAGCTATCATCAAACAGCCACTCTCCACTACAATAAAAAAAGAATTATTTCAATAGGCTTCCCTTGGGAAGCTATACAACTCCCAGAGCATCTTAGTGCAGCGCTACCATTGTGAAGTCACACCGATGACAAACATGGCCCACATATTACGCAACACTGCTTTCAATTTTGAATTTAAGGCAACAAAATCCCAGCCATATATAAACTGCTGATACAGACAAACTTGCAGCAATGTGTCATGAATGAAAGCTACATTGAGCAGGTCAAGGTAGAAAGTGCATACACGTCTGCACTGTAATCTGTCATACACTGCAAATTGCCCAGGAGTAAGGAGGCTTTACATCACAGTACACAGAAAGCTGATACTGGGAGAGTGCTATTTTGTCAAAATACACTTTGATTTCCACCTAACGAAAACTCCCGTAACATTCACCAATCAATAGATGTCAAAATGGCCCCCATTTCTGACATATAGAAGGTAGTGAACACAAATCTACAAGCATAAAAAATAGCAGGTAGGGCAGATGAAGTAGAGATAAGAGGGGTGAAGGCAACAAAATGACAGAAACACAAGAAAGAACATTACAGCACAGAAAAGAGAGACATTTATACAATCAAAATATAGTTCCCACAACACCTGTTGTAATATACATTTGACAAATATCCCCTTTCTAGGTCTTGGTCCATATTGTCCATCAAAATGAAAGAATCACAAGAATATTTCAAATAAATGAAGAGCCACACAGTGCCACAGATATTCCCGTTCCTGACATCTGTTGGGCTTAACAGATGCTCTGCTCGGCTGCCTACCCAGGCTTCCCTCTCTGAGCCAGCCAGGCTCACCAGTAAGCCAAGGATCTGGCTGGCTGTGAAAATTGAGCCTGATGGTAATTGATTGCACATAACTTGTGTGCTTAAATTAAAGAAAGTTTAGCTAGTGAGGAATTTAAAATGTTTGAGAGCAGAAAATGCATGACCTTCTTCAAGGTCAGTTCACTGCCAGCAGGCACTAGGAGGGAGGACAGGGGAGTGGGGGTAAAAGAGAGATGGCTGACAGAGATGTGGCCGGACTGGCAGCTCAACAGGGCCGATGGCTGGCCGAAGCAGATAGTGAAGGCTGGGTTGGAGTAGTAAGAGTCTGGTCTGCCAGTGTCAGGGGGCATGGCCCATGGATGGTCCAGAGTCACTGTCTTCAAAGTCCCGTGGGTCCATGGGGCCTGCCCTCGGCTCTGGAAGCCTGAAAGAGGGAGAGGGAAAAAAAAATAAATCCCTTTGAGTCTTCCAACTCTCTTGTCTTTCACAAGCAACTACAGACAGGTGACAAATTAAAGGAAAAACCTGAATAAATGAGTAGTCTCTACCAGGATAAAAATGCCTCCGCCCTTCGGGCACGAAGAGTCGCTGCATGGTTTGATGAGTATGCCACCAGATCTCAACCCAATTAAACACCTATGGCAGACTGGATTGATGTGTTAGACAGCGCTCTCCAGCACCAACATCAAAACACTAAATGAGAAAATGTCTTTTGAAGGAATGGTGTTCATGCCTCCAGTAGAGTTCCAGAGACTTGTAGAATCAATGCCAAGGCACACTTTGTTGGTTTCCCCTTTAATTTGACACCCATCTGTACATGCAGACACACAAACACACACACCCTGCTCACACACCCTCCATCATGTGCACATATAACGGAAATGCAATAAATCTCTGTGAAATGTAATCAGCTTCAATCAAGCTATGCCTCAAGTAGAAATCATCTATTCTGTCAGTTTTATATTAGTTGCTCTGAGGTGACAGAGACAAAGTGATAGGGAAACTGCAGGTACCTGTAGCGATCCAAGCCTGGCAAATAGATTCGGTTTCACTGGAGACAGTCTACACTAATCATATGCTCTAATTGGACAGTGCCGTAAAGGTGATGGAGCATTGCGCCTCCCCGAGAAGCGACTCTCTCCTCTAACTTCTCCCATCTCCCTCCATCTTTCATATTATGATTATGCCCCTAAATCTACAGAACCACTTCCATTTTCAAAATACTGCATGTCAGCAACACTTAATCGTATGGGAATGCTGTTTAATTCAATGAGTTTCATTGCTCTTTAGAGCCATGCCATTAAACTTCAACATTCAAATGTTTCTTTTAAACCAACCCTGACCTTGGGCAGTTACTTTGCATTTATATATTGCAAATATTTTGTCGTTTATTAGAGCAAAAATGAGAAAAGATTACTCCGCACAAATGTCTGATGTCATACTGATGTATACAGTGAACCTTTATAGGGAACAAACTAGAGTATAAAGGACAAGTTAACTGCTAGCTTGAGTTCGTTTTATCATTTAAGACTGTTAATGCAGACACTTGTAGTTCAGAGTCAGAATCAGTGTTCGTATTACACAATACAGGCGAAGGTGGATGCCAGCATTTAAACTCATTTGCTTTCTACAGCACAGACACTTTGGTCTCTGGTTACTACATCATGACAATCAATAAAACAACTGGTAATTTGTATATAAAGCAGCATTATCTCTCACACCAATGGTTACAACAAAATGAAGTGATCAAGACACATGAAAACACAAAGACTGTAAGTGAATCTAGATCTAGAAAAGGTGTGTTCTACAAAATCCTAAGTGGGATGTAGAGGATAGATGTTTTAGTTGAATGTGCTGTGTTTAAAACAAGGGGTGAAAAAAGACAAAAAAAAGACCTAGTCAGCAGCATCAGTATGGGATTCCTATAATGTGCTTAAAAGAAGACATGGAGCCTACTGCCATGCTAGTGGCTCTGTGAGGCTATAATTAGGCACTACAACAAGAGCTGCTCAATGAGATAAAGGCTTAACATATCTTAATTTAACATGTTAGCATGCTAACATTTGCTTATTTAGCATTAAGCACAAACTACAGCTGTGTTTTGCAGGTTGTTGGTCATAAGCCATAGTACTGGGCAAATCCAAAGTCTGACCTGATGGTGGCACCGGATGAAAAGTTAAATGTTCCCTAAAATTATTGCAGTTCATCCTGAGGAGAAGATGGATGTTCATGGCAACCCATCAAACAGATGCTAATACAGTTCCTACAAAACCACAAATGTGAACCTCATGCAGACCCTACAGGAAAGGTCAGGGGATCATCAGAGTTCTTAGTATATTGTAAATCCGCTGGGGCCCACAAATGTCTTTACATAATTTTGTCTTAATACATCAAATTTTTCATTTGAATTTTTTTTCCTTTTCTTGTTCTCTCAGTCTTATCTTGTTTCCTCACTGCTTTATGGAAGAACACTGTGCATGCACATTGAAAGCCGCTGTACCAGAGTCCAATTCCTGTGTTCAGCATACCTGACCAATAAAGTTTATTCCGATTCTGATTCAAATAGTTGTTGAGGTATTTATGTCTAACCCAAAGTGATGGATGACCAATCAATCCAGCTTGCTACAGTCAGGGAAAAATGTTTTTGAAACCCAGCTGATTTTGTAAGTTTGCCCACTAACAAAGAAATGATCACTCTACAATTTCAATGGTAGGTTTATGTGAACAGTGAGAGACACAACAATAACAAAAAAATCCAGAAAAATGCATTACAAAAAAGTTATACATTAATTTGCATTTTCATGAATGAAATAAGTATTTGATCCCCTATCAGTCAGCAAGATCTCTGGCTCCCAGGTGTATTTTATACAGGTAACGAGCTGACATTGGGAGCCCTCTCAGCTCGTTACCTGTATAAA